TATACTTTAAGTACACTTTCTTGACAATACTTATGAATGAATGTATTTTACTTGTAACTCCCTCTGATTTTTTATCAGTAGTGGAAGTATTACATAAAAGCAATACCACAATTTAAAAATACTCAGAGGACCACAGACGTTTACCAAGACCAGTGTCTGGTCAAGACAGTTCACTCTGAATCACAAATGTCAACCTCCTAGTGGCACTAGAAGTTGGGTCATGGGATTAACAAAGTCAGTAGGATTCATCCCTTGCGGACCATGAATGTCTGTACAAAATGTAATGTAATGGCTTCTTCAGTCTGGACCAAGGTGGTGGGTCGACCAGGGCTGTGTAGTGCTAAGAATGTAGCGATATGATACCTATCACAATACAGGCGTCACGATTCAATATATTACGATATATTGCAATTTAAATAAACAAGTTTTAGAAAAACTGTCATAGCACAACAAACACACCACCATATACAATCGGGGTACAAAAGCAATCATAGCAATGGGATCTGCATTTGTACTTATCAACGCTGCTATCTAGCAGTTGGGGGTATAAATAAAATAATTGATACTGTGTTTTTGAGAATTAATACAATAACACAAAAAAAAAATATCCTGAAACAATATTTTTTTAAACCCCTGGGGTTGACCGATGTTGCCACATTGCGACGGTGGCTGAAACCCTCATCTAATGTAAGTCGGAATTCCGATCTTTAACTAAAATCCCAGTATGAGTTATAACCTGAAGCAGGAAGTCATGCTCATGATGTTCTGAAAATAGCAAAGCTATCCGAGTTTATTGATTGCAAAAGAATATGTCTGGGCAAAGTCTTTGGTGAGGGAGCAAAGTGATCTCACCGAGTGAGGAATGGATGAACGGGGCCAAGGCCGACAGACAACAGCACTTTTTAATTCATCTCTTTTGGGACAGTGAATGCATCTCAGCAGCAGGCCACCAACAGCTGACTGGATGGGACAGAACTCAGTCTGTCATGGTGTCACATTGCCATTTTCAGAGAGCTCTACATGGAACCACAGCTTGCTCATTTCAGCAAGTGGACAAGGCTGTCATTGTGACTCGGTCAAGTTTCTACTGACCCCTGGGCTTCTTCTGTCTCATTGAGAAGTCAATCATCATCAGTCTGTCCAGCCAGTAGCTTTAAGGGCAGCAATGCTTCAATACTGCAGGTCTGGAGACATGACTTCCACATTTTATTCAGCGAGTACAATCAACTTGTTTCTACTGCTCTGTTATCATCGTAAGAAATCTGCTTTAAACATAGAAAAAGAAAACCTCACAATTACCCCAAAACGCCATGACAGAGCAACTGAAGCAAATTATTAGTATATCGGATTGAGAGATGTTGTCTACGACCGGAGAAGCAATGCATGACATCAGGGTTCTAAAAGCAAAAGGAAGCCATCAAAGTCAGTGAGAGACCAAAACCGAAATTTCACAAGTAACTAATAAATAGAGGTGGTATCTCTTCAAATAACTCATATAGCTATACAGTCCAATTTTGCGTATTCCTGGCACCCACAACAATCGTATTGTTCAAACCGGTTGATCAACATTTGAGTCTTGTCTTATGCAAGTCCGTCACAGCCTGAACGGTACAAATCAGTGGTAGCCTGACTGCACGAAGCAAGACAGGACAGGAATGTAGGAATATCTTCTTCGGCCTTGTTTAAATTTGCCACTCCCTCGTCTATCTGCAGACAAAACCTGACGTGAACAAGAAAATGCTGATCATGCAAGTGTTGCAAAAGCTGTTGTGATATTAAGGTGCTGTAAATAGATGGCATTTGTCACTCATAAGCATATAACATTTAATTTTACTCCACTACATTTAATTCAAATATTGCACTTTTTACTCCACTATATGTAACATTTTACATTAAAAAATAAAATAAAACTTATAATAATCTTATAAAATAAATTAATTGTTAAAGAATAAATGAGTCGCTCAAATTCTTTTTGGCTTGTGACTCCTTAGAATGAAGCAGGATCTTCTAAGGACTTATGGTCACATTTCAGATGTCTATGAGTTGTTTCATTCTACCACAAAGACCACAGAAGAGCCCAAACAATTAATAGGAATTTGTGTATCAATGTTTTTTTTCCATCCGCCATGCTGCACTAATCACCTCACAACCCCTCACATTTATCTTGTGACTTGTCAAAGGGGCCTGACCCAATAGTCAGTCTAAACTAGCACGACCTCCACAAGCTACACAGTAAAATGCTGCTTACAGTAATATTGTGATATTTAATAATATCACTTTCAGGGGCCATTTATCTATATAACAAGTACTTTTACTTTTGATATTTTAGTGTTATCTGTATTTTGCTGATAATACTTTTGTGCTTTTACATGTACAAGTACGATTTTGAATGCAAAGCTTTTATTTGCATATAAGTATTTTTACATTAATGTATTAGTAACTTTACTTTACTAAAGGATCTGAATCCTTCTTCCACAACTTGTAGTAAGACCTTCCAGATGAGCATCATGTCTGTGCAGCCGTGTGCATCCCTCTTCTATGTGCAGCAGGAGGCCCTGGGTAATCTGCCCCTCATCCTGACCCTCCAGCCTGAGGATGCTCTGCGGCTGCTTTGATGCCACTGCCATGTTATCATCACCATTACAGCAGCAGGGTGGCAGGGCCAAGTGCAGACAGAAGGAAACAATGATTTCTGTCCATATCCACTGAGCTTTTATCTGGCAGGTACACACAGACCAACACACCGATTGGTGAGAAACGAGAAAACGTATAGAAATATAGAAGAGCACATGCCAACAGTTCACCCAGCTGGGTCTGACGTGCTGCAGATGTTCTTGAGGAGCCTCAGGGGAGGAAATCACCTCTGCCTCTGGGACAACAGCTGGATTCTGGTGGAGCAGCGCTGCTCAGTGAACCAACTGTTTGTAGGATGTAAGAGAGGAAGTAGAGTCCAGTGGTAGGCCCTGCAGTACAGGCCATCATTGTATCACTTTAATGACTTTCAGTTTTGACTGTGAGCCTCTGTAATACAAGGCATGAAAGCAAATGGCAGTTTATCATAAATAAACACAAAACTTAATACTAAAAACAAAGTTGTTTCAGAGTAACAGGAAGAGGAAAAATCAATGATTGCTAGTCAGGGAAATTCCCCTTAATTTGCTATCCAGTAATTAGTAAACTTTGCATTTTACTATCCAAAGTTCAAACAGAACAATGGCAGTCTTGACACCCATGACACTTTGGGTAACTTATCATTTTACAAAGCCAGCTCATTGAAAAAAAAAAAAAACACCATGCAAGGCAATGCTGCCTTCCCTGAGCAAGTGGACGGACACTTCCGTGCTGTGCACACCATGCAGTGCAAGACTGCTCTGCTGATGCAGCCGTGCACAACACATTACAGGGTAGCAGCTATGCTTTGCTGTGGTTTCATAAGCTCAATCCTTCTTTACAGTTTTGTCACACTCTAAAAAGAAGAATCCTCTCCAGGCTCTCAGGCTGTTGCAGCACCAGACTGGCTTCAGTCCTTTTTCACTAAGTTGCTGACCTTTGAGGAAATTCCTGTGTCAGCCAGAGCGACATCACCCCGAAACTGACCCGATAGGTCCCCAGTTTCTCTCTCTGACAAATTGTGCTTTCAGTGAACTTTTTGTTTTCTGTTTGGCACTTTCTATTAAATGCATTGGGGGCTTATCCAAAAAAAAAAGTGATTGTTTCCTATGGATGACAGGCTGATGAGGAAAATAAAGCAAAAATCAAACTGCGTGTCATTGCCATTTAATAATCACCCTTTGAGAGTCACACATTTCCGCAAGTTGCAGCCGGATCTGCAAAGCCAGCCTTCAGCCTTAAAAAATAACGACTCAAAGAGCCAAGGCTCTGACAGGTCGGATGCATGCTCACCATCTTGAGTCAGCAGAGTATGATGACCATATATCTATCCACATTATTTACCAGGTTGTGAAAGACAGCTGCATGATGCAACCGCTGCACCCCAGGAGTCAGAGGAAATGCAGACATTTGGAG